GTATCCAAAAATAAAAAACAACCCAAAAGTGGAGAATAGCATAGATTTGTACAATTAAGACATCATTTACATAAAATTCATCAGAGTATTTGGTAGAGGAAAAATAAAATTATGTTTTTGCTCGCACTACAACACTGACACCACTAAATATTAGCAACATCCAAAGGCAGTCCCTTTCATTATGCAACCTATATTAGGGAAAAACAAAAAACTCAAATATTAGCTTGCCTTATAATAGTAGAAATTGTACTAATGAAGGTGCTTACCAAAAGGATTTATTGCTTCTGGTGGTCATTATAATTTAGGAGGCCCTTCTCTCCAGACTTTTTCAATAAATTTCTTTTTCGTAGCTGGTAAGCTTGCAACTCCAAGAATTGCTCTGAAGAGAAATATACAAACAAAATCAAACTAAAACTTCTTGTAAAGGTGACTAGATGGTTGGCCACTAATTACTATGTTGCTCGTGATTTGCTTCTATAAAAGTAAGTGGAACACAACACACAAAATGAGAAAAAAGAAGTTCACGGAAGAGGAAGAGAGAAAAGAGAGGAAGAGGAGAGGAGATAATAGAGAGTTACTTTTGTACTCCTATTATTCTAATTTATAATGAAAGCATCACCACTGCTCCGAGGACGTACTCCAGTCACACTGATTGTAGAGGAACCTCGTAAATTTTTTGTCTTGTTTCTTTTATTCCACTGCACATACCATCGATTTTACAACACGTTATCAGCACGAGAAGCTCTCGTGTTAGTGGAAAGCACAACGCCAGAAATCATGTTCACCTCTATCGCCTGGAATCTCACAGATAAGAAAATCTTTTCATTTCATCTTAAAATCTTTGTACTACTGATTTTCCTGAAGCAAATATACATATGTTGTTGTATGACTGTATATCATCATTTGCAGAAGCAAAAGAGTACAGACTCAAAATTTGTAAAGAATCTGACAGCCATGTAAACAGCCTCGGAACTCTAACTTGCACACATCGGATTGAAATACTTTCTTCTTCAAAGTTGTTCGTCCGCCCAGTACCTACAATTGTCAATTTTTTTTGAAAATTCCAATGGTGCAATCATCGCAGATGCCTGAAATACCAAACCAGTTTCCAATTTCCGCAGAAAATTGGATAGGCATCTTATGAGTACCAAAACCCTATTTCGGTAGCTTAGATCGAAACTATTTCTTCACAAAAGTTGTTCAGTATCCTCTTATCCATATCATACTAAAATTTGAACTAAATCTAATGGTTTGATCTTCTCATAAGTTGCAGACACTCTTGACTCCAAAACTTATGGGAATCGTTTCGAAACAGACACTCTTGACTCCAAAACTTATAAGAACCGTTTCGACTTTTTCGAAACTCACTCGAGGAGGAACACCAATTGGAACTTATTGTTACTATTACTTCCTGAATAACTAAAAGGACTTAGAGTTGTGAAATGAAAATAATAAAATAAAAGGAAAAATGAGGGTGCGTCAGACACCATGTGGAAACCAAGAAAAAAAAAACAAAGGTTTTTTTGGATTGTTGCAACATGTGAATGAATAAGAAAAAAATAATAATAAAAAAGGAGTAAAGGCTTTTGGATGGTGTTGCACCATCTAAAAAGAAAGAAGAAAATATATATGTATTTAATTTATGTGAATGGTGTTGGTTCAAAATCCTTTCACAAGTTTTATTTACTTTAAAGCAATTTATTTATCATGGACAGTTTTACCGCCTACTGCTTTAAGTTTTAATTTATGTAAATGGTGCTGAATTAAAACCCTTGTCACAAGCTTTATTTACTTAAATGCAATTTATTTACTATGGCTGGAATTACCGTCTATTGCTTTAATTTATTTATTGTACTTATCTTTTGTTACGATGAGTATATACAGGACCTGAAGTTCCTTGATCAGATCAAAACCTGCAATTTCTTGATCCTCATTATATAAAAATGATTGGACCTGAAGGTCCATCATGCAAAAAGATTGGGCATGAAGTCCCTAGATCTTCAAGATCAAGACATGAAGTTCCTTGATGAGTACCTTAAGTTTGAAGAGCCAAAGTGCCTCAACTTCATTGCAATAAAAGCCATAAGAGTCTCAGTCTACAGACTATTAAATAAGGACCAAAAGTTCCTCATGTCTATACTCAAAATGGTTTAGCAAAAGTATTTATTAAGCGGATAAAATTGATTACCCGCGCTCTGCTAATGAAAATAAAATTGCCAATTGTTACATGGTACATACTATTTTGCATGATGCAATATTAATTCGGTTGAGACCTGTTGCCAACCATTAATACTTTTTAGTACAACTCGTGTTTGGACACAAGCCAAACATTACACATCCACGAGTTTTTGGTTGTATTATCTTTGTGCCTATTGCACTGCCACAACGTACTGAAATGAGGCATCATTGCGGATTGGGCATTGACGTTGAACACCATCTATTGTTCAATATTTGGAACCCTTGACTGAGGATATGTTTATCGCGTGGTTTGCGGATTGTCATTTTGATAAGACAATTTTCCCACCGTTAGGGGGAGAAAATAACATCGTTTCAGAAGAACGATGAGAAAATATCATTCCAGAAGAATGATGAGAAAAGACCGTTTCAGAAGAACGAAGAGAATTTGTCTTATTTTGATTCATGAAGTAATCAATATAAAAACGAATTGAGAATAATTGAATGATGCAACAATATGCAAATCAAATGCCAGATGCATTTAATGATGCAATGAAAGTGATGAATCACATATACTTGTTGCAAATGTGCCTACATGAATTGATGTTCTTGTTGGACAAAAATAATGATGCAGTAAATGATTTATCTATTGCACGCCTGAAACGTGGTAGACCTTTGGACTCAAAAGGTTTAATCATTTGAAAGAAGAAGAATATGACACTACTGAACTATTGCATTTCCGAAGCATAACTGCAACATGCCGGAAGCATGACAGTCGTTGCATGGATACACGTCCCAAAAAGGACAATCCATGGACATGGGAATGTTGATGTCTCATGCATGAAGCATGATAGACGTATAGGTTCCAATGACTCAACTCTCAAAGTGGAGATTAAAATCCAAGCTCTATAATGCTCAAGAGGAGGTTATGATCCGCATTCTCTATACTATGACTATCCTGGAAGAGATAGTGTAATGCCCTTAAAGAGGCAATGGATATCCAAAGAAATGAAAAGCTTTTATGCATGCGCATGCACATAAGAATATGAGATCACAGATTGATGATAACCAATGGTAATTTTGGTTTTTACAAGTAGCTACTAAATTCATCAATAAGCTGTGTTGATATTGAGTCCCGTTCTTTTTCCGTCAACAAAATTATTGGCCAAAATGGAGAAAGGCAATTCCATTACAATTTTGTAGGAACGTGGAAAAATAGACCTATGTACTTGAATACAATACTAATAGCCAAAAGATGTTGAACCTAGAAGGTTACATATGGGCATTTGTAATACCGTGAAATACACTCACATGATATGACACAAGGTTATAAACAAGTTCATATGAATGGAGAATTTTATACGAAGGGTTATGAGTCGCCCACATCATATCTCCATAAGTAAATCCCTCAAGTATACATGGAAGCAAATTGCTCTATACAAATTCCAAAGAAAAAAAAAATATGTCATAAAGTGTAGAAAATCCCTGAAGGATTCAAATTGCTTGAAGTAAGCCCTGGAGGGGTAAATCATAAAATATGTACTCAATACCAATGGATGGTATAAATTGCCTTAGAGAGTACTTTCATTATGATATTGTTGCAACATACCAAAATCTCTTGTAAGAGTCAATGCCATTAAATTAGAACTCCTGAAGAGTTGTTGATATTAAATTGGGACTCTTGAAGAGTCAAGAAAGATTATAAAGTGTTGAGAGAAATATTGTCTCGAGCTGCAGATTGAACAATTTACCAACACGAATTTTACCCATGATATTTATGATATTAAAGAATCATATGGATTGAAGATTATGAGTTGAATACTCAAATGATGTAGACACTAAGAATGATCATTTATCTTCGTGAGGGTAAAGATAAATTGATATTTGGTCCAGAAGTACCACATCTTAGTGAAGTATATACTTTATTGTATTTGGCACAATACATTGAATGAAATAAAGCTTATCTATTGATATCTCCGAGAAATTACAGATATGTACATACACATGAGTTAAAACAAACAAACAGGATGAAACCTTCACAAAGGTTGCTCATGTGAAGCCTCAGTACTCAACAATACACCAGAAGGGAGAGGCACTGGAGATTGATCATGTGGCACCCCAGTACTTGACAAAACACCGGAAGGGGAAGACATCAGTTGCCTTCGGAATCTAGCAACAAACCTCTGGTGATCACTTTGAATCCAACTTTCGGATTCCTGTAGCTGGTTGGGATCTCTTTTCATGCTCGTCGAGTAATTATTTGCAAGCATGTGTAACACTCTATTCTCGTGCTTGAGTCCTCTGACATCTTGTTTAAGGCTTGCCACCTCAGCCATCAATGATTCAACTTGGTGAGTTCGAGCAAGTAAACGTTGGTCCATATTGGGTATAGAGCCCGTACATTGAACGCTGAGAGACAAGGAGTCTCGAACGGCCAACTCATCAAATCGTTTTGAAAGGATTCTGTTATCCATTGGAGTGAGAAGATTCCTAGTTACCATTGTAGCAGTAATGTTATTCTTCATCACAGAGCCCCTAACTGTAAGAGGACCATTAGAAGATAAGAAGGACGGACTCCATATATTATTCTGACGCTGCTCGTCTGTATCACTCCTAAGACTCAAATCTAAGCAAATGTTAGATGGGCAAGCCATTTTCATAAATGATGAAGGAAAAAGGAGGTCAAATAAAATCTCAGAAGTGCAAGAAAGGGAAAATATCTACAGGCAGCAACTTTCTGAGCATACTCTTGAACACAATTGATGTCTCTATAAAAGAAGAGGCAACAGAGCTACTTGTTCAGAGATCGAAGAAGCACCGCTCCCTGAATTTCAAAAGCCAGATTTTCCTGAATAAAGTTCGTTGGCATTTTTCAGATGCAATCTCAGTTTTTTTGGATATCGCATGCAACTTTGTCAAAGATCTCTAACAAAGTTGAAAACGCGTAAATCTTACTGTTCTAATTACACAACAGTTGCTGACAAAAGTAAAGGCACATCATCACTACTTGCTATTGAAAAATCTCTATAAATGTCGACCTTCGTTCTCCATAACAAGGCAGACTTGCAAGAATACCCAACTCTTCCTCATCTTCGAGAATGCATCTTCAACAAAGCATCTCGAAATATTCAATTTTCTTCCTCTCCGAGAATACCTCTTCAAACCAGTCACACCAGAGCAAGATTATCTCATATCATCAAGGACGAGAGTAAGAGTATCTCATATCATGCAATCTTCATGTCCTTTCATTTATCCTTGTTTTTACCTGCAAAGACAAGGATAAAGAAAGCAATATGTTGAAACTTCCACTCAAACTTCTGGTAAGGAACCGACTGCCTAGAACATTTCCTGATTGCTTACCTAGAATTGTTCTCGAGTACTCATCTTCAACTGTTGATAGAGCTGGGTCTCAAGTCATCAACACCGCAGAATAATTGGCTTGTCGTTGGCTTTTTACACTGAAGCTGCCACACATGGATGAGTCACCAAGAAGTGATGTACCATCCAAATACAAGGTTTGCATTCCACTTCTGCATTAGAAGACAAATACTAGAAGAGAAGATGTCAAACTTGCATAGGGAAAATACCACTTCAACAAGGGGAACAAATAAGGCAAGTGAAAATAATACATTGAAACATGTGGAGACAAGCACAACAAAACACTTGCTAGTTCATCCCCGACAAAGCCTAAGATTACTTGTCACATGAAGCTCCTCATGGTCCAATTTCATTCAAGATCAAGTCTAGACAACCCTTGAAGAAATCACAAGTCCAATTCAAGATCAAGTGTCCACCACCCTTGAATCAAATTCAACTCCAGATAAAAGAAGTAAATTCAAACCTTTGGAGGAAATCAGAAGACCCTCCAACCCAGTTCAAGAACAAGCATGTGGAAAGTTAACAACAAGTAAAGCACATCTTTCGGCAACTCTTCTCGCTAAGATACTGAAGCGAAATGATCAACGATCAGCCTAAATGATTCTCATCAGGGGGAGCATCCGAAAATAGATCAAAATTTTAACGAGTCAATCATCCAAGGGTGAGTGTTGTAAAGGTGACTAGATGGCTGGCCACTAATCACTATGTTGCTCGTGATTTGCTTCTATAAAAGCAAGTGGAACACAACACACAAAATGAGAAAAAAGAAGTTCATGGAAGAGGAAGAGAGAAAAGAGAGGAAGAGGAGAGGAGATAATAGAGAGAGTTACTTTTGTACTCCTATTATTCTAATTTATAATGAAAGCATCACCGCTGCTCCGAGGACGTACTCCAGTCACACTGACTGTAGAGGAACCTCGTAAATTTTGTGTCTTGTTTCTTTTATTCCACTGCACACACCATCGATTTTACAACAAAACTAAGTTATTGGAAGAAATTTAGAAAACACAAACACCACTACAACTCAAAGTTAAAGTCAACAGAAACCAAATGGTAGAAATTGAAAAAATATATGGTCTTGAATCTGAGAACTTCCTCAAAATTAACAGCAATAAAATTTCATATAATTTGTCAAAAACCAAATTAGACAAAGAAAGAGATAATTTCAAAACCTTGTAATGCTAAGTCTTCGTACAATTATAATAATATATGGTTGAAGCATCTGTTGCTCAATAAAAATACATTCACGTCCAATTCATGAGAAATCATGGGAAAGCAAATGCAACTGATAACGGAATCATGAATATGAATTAACTTGCCAAAAAGAAAACTTGTTGTAGTGTGCCACGAACATCCTCCTATGCTCACGATGATAATTAAGTAGACTAAATGACAACCCATAAAGCATACAAATTCAGAAAAGATAAGGTTTCAAAACTGCCATAAGAAAACACAGAATATATAAATAGGGAATCAAAAGAAGAGAAACGGAAAAGGAATAAAAAACCAAACAAAATTATTATTTGGGATATACCTTTTTCTAAAATGCCACAATCATCAATGTCCAACAAAAACAATCCAAAATTTTTGAAAAATACAAATAAATGCTCAACTAAAAACGAAAGAAAACGTAGAATAAGTTTACTTGTTCCTCCCCTCATTAAACTAGAATACAATTGACCACTAATATTCTTGTCATCCTTTTTAGCCTGAAAAATTTAGTAGAAACATATTAAACTAAACAAATTTTTCATTTCTGTCAACTCCTAAAAATAACCTATGCAATCCAAAAAATGTTGATATAAAGTCAGTGTATCAATGCCTGAAATTGGCACTTGAACTAACAACCTCCTTCGTGAATATGTTTGTTTGCTGAATGGTTTTAGCTGAAGTTGTGAAAGGAAATGTAATTTCTTGAAAGAAGGAGAAAACGCAAAGACGAATAAGTGTAAGTATTCATACCTGCATCAAATTTGCAATCTTTACCTACAAAACCAAATTACATTTTTCAACAAAAAAGAATTAGCCTTCAATTATTAGTCTAAATATTGATTTGCAAACACAATGTAGCAAAAGAGCTGTTCAATAGCTCATTTTGGATTATAGGAAGTCCATTCAAAGAACTGAAAAAAGCATAAATGAAAATATTCAAGGACCAACCATTTTTGGAAACCATTGGTTCTAGTCTTGTGATCTTTGATTCATTTAGCGAGAACCAAATTAATTTGAAATAAAAAGAGACCTATTTGTTAAATCAACTTAGAATTTAAAACTAACATAGATTGACAGTGAAAAGAGGTATTCGCACAGACATAATGCAGTACACACGTGTAATATACAATTGAGTAAGATACTTTGATGCCCTGTGGATCATTAATTGTTCCCTTGAGCCACAATTTTCTTTGAATTAATATAAACCGGATAAACACAATCCATCTCTTTATATCCACGTCTCAAATAAAAATAAAAATTCTACACAAAAATGTGACACACAGAGTTAGCTATCACATTGCTTCCCTATATCAACACAAATGTATGGAAAATAACGACAAATGAAAAGAAAAAAAAGTAGACAGATATCATATTTTCATTGTATATGCCATAAGTAAGACAAAGATCAATTCCAATTAAAGTTAAAACTCATTGGTTAAAATTGTCTACACTACACATATGCAAATAAATTCCTGATAAATTAAGAGAAAAAATAAAGGTACGTAATATATCAATTTATGGTTGGAAGCACCTTGACAATTAGTAAAAGGTCATCTCTTACAAAATTGAAAATAGAACGATGTGAACTCGAATATAGATGAATGAACATAATATTGTCTTATTAGCTAAAATTATAAATTGAGTACACTTCAAAATACCATATGGACTTGAACATCAATTTGGTTGTGAATTACACATTTTGGAATTTCTAGTAGTAGACAGATAAAATGATGCAAAAAATGAATTACCAATAAAGATCCAAAGAGCTAAAAAATTATTACCTTTGGAGAAAACAGGTGTTTGGCCACTAAGTTGCTGCAACACCTTCGAACAAAAAATAATTAATGTTCAAGATGTGTGAGATAGATGGTGAGGATAGCAAATGGGGTACCTTGGTGGCTCTCGTGAGTTACACATTTTGGATACCTCAAAATACCCTAATAACAAACATAAATTCCTTTACTATATGATAGTAGTACATAATTTGTGTGAGATGGATGGTGAGGATAGCAAAAGGGGTACCTTGGCGGCTCTCGTGAGTAGATCTCCGCTCTCATCGATGTAGATGTTGAGGACCAGCTTCTGGACCTTGATCTCCCTCACGGGATTCGCTTTCTTCTTTTCAGAGCAGTTCCAACATGGGAACCCTTCCCCCATGTAATACACTATGCTATCCACCCAATGAATAATAACCGTCCTTAATAAACAGTAATCGCATTTTGCATCTCCATCCCTACACTTGAATAGCCATGGCAATTAGCAATAAAATATTACTATTTTTTTATTTATAAAATAATACAAAATAATTTTATTTATAACAAGAAGCAAATTAATCAGACTTAAGAATCGATTGTCTGCATTGACTAAACAAAAGAAGAGCTAAACAAGGCAAATTGATCAGAATTGGCAAAAATGGCATCTCCAAATCCAACCAAAATAGACCAATTGAAGCGTATATTTTTCAATAGCACACAAACTACTCAGAACAGGAGTCGGAATTACAAAAAGTTAACCCCAAAATGAACCGAAACACGCCATTCGAACCGAAAAACTAGCAATAGCATTCTCAAATTATCCAAAACTACAAAAAACGTAACTCCACCATGAATGGCGCTGTCGTACGTGCCTTTGATTTCATCCGGGGATGTGACCCTCAAGTTGTTCTTCTCCACCACGAATCTCCCATTCGCCATAGACAGCAGCATAAACCCTAGAAAGAATCTCAGCGTTGCTGATCTTTGCAGCTCCATCATTCCACAAGATAGCAGAAAATAAAATAAAAAAAGGGATTTTTTGAATCGAATTTACTGAACACACACAGATAAAGCTAGTTTTGTTTCTCAATTCTTCATAATTTGTTGGGTTTGTGAATTTGTTCTGAAAAACCCAACAAAAAAAATGAAAAAATAGAAAACTGGGCTTTGCTCAATCTGTGGTTTTATATAACAGGCATCTGACGTCCGCTGATGTCAAACTCACCTCAGGCGCTTGGGCTGGCATGAATCCACGGGCCTGGCACTCGGGCTTGCTCGGGCTCCCTCGCCAGCTAACGCTGGACTTCCTCCCTCGGGCAATTAGGCCCTCTGCTGAGGCATGTCCATTAAGCAATTGCTCCCGCTGGAGCTGCTCTCAACAATTCCCACACCCCAAAAAAAAAATAATAATAAAATAAAAAGCAAAACTCCCTAATTTATGAAATACAATCAAATAAATAAACCCATATGATTTCATGAAGCAAGAAACAAATTCACTTAGAGGCAGAGCCATATAAACCCAGAAAGAAATTCAAACATTCCAAATTTCTGAAACAACATATGACCATAGAGATTGAGCAGAGAAGAGAAAAAGAGAATCCCAAATAAAATTCTAGAGAAAGAGAGAGGACTCACCGTGAAATTAAAGCTGCTTCAGGAATTTTTTTTTTAATCGGGACGAGATTCACGTTTTTTATTTCTTGCAAAAAGAGAAAAGGGATTACATGCGGGGTTCCTTTTTTTTTAGCAAGACTACTTGAGGCCAGACAATGTAGTCGAAGTAAAGGTTTGAAAGCAATAGATTTGTGTGAGAGAGAGAAATGGAAATAGAAGGAGAAGTCAAGAAGATTCCCACTCCAAGGGAAGAGGATTCTATACCCTCCTATTCCTATCCCCTTCCATCCTCTCCTCTCACACATTATTTTTTGTCTTATTATCTCTATAAAAAAATCAATATAAAATGTTGAAGTGGCTTAACCGTGACCGTTCAAATAGGAGGGGATGGAAGGGTAGAGATATTAAGAGGGTAGAGAATCCTCCTCCCACTCCAAGATGGTCGACACGTGCAAAACAGGTGAACAGCGATTTGTCCAAGTAGAAGGTGCAACGATGATAACGCGTGAGCAAGGAGCGTAAATATGTCCCTTCACTATGTAAAAAGTGATAAAAATGGTTGATAACAAAGGAATTATTGGGCATTTTTGCCAGTTTACTACTGGTGAACAGTATTTTTGTGTTGGGTTTTAGTATAGGTATAATGTATGGATGTAGATGGAGAGTTAAGAAGACAAAAGAATGAGTTTAGGCTTAGTGAGTTTGACTAGAAATTGTACTAGCTGGGGTGTCTTGTCAAAGCTTGGATTATTGAGGTGAGTGGTTTATGTAATGTGTTGAAATATCTTATTTTCTGATAATTGAAAATCATGAGTTATTGCGGGATATACTCTATTTTTTAAAATCTTTCTCTATTTCAAGTCAAGCATGTTAGATTTGTTGAAATGTTTTCGAAGTTATTATATATGGTGATATGTGGATTATTTAGATATGTTCATGAAACATGAGAACTTTAGAGTTGGGACAATTTCAATTCTCTCACAGCCGAACTAAAAGCAATTGGGTGAGGCTTTTCAAAAAAAAAAAAAAGCAATTGGGTGAGTGAAAGTGTTGGTTATTGATCATTTGATAATCGTCACCGCTGAGTCATTGCCACGTGTGTCTTCCTATCTAAGGAAGATCACTTACGTCTCCCGCAGTGAGATAACAAAGAATCACCCGCCAATAACACCGTCCTGAAGACGGAGTCAAACAATCAAACGGCTCTAAGCTGCACCATCTTCCAATAAAACTCTGCCTGTGAGATACTTTACCACCTCGCGCATAATGTTATCATTTATAAACGGATAATCCTTGATCGCTTTTGTATATTTCGCACCTGATAGTTCGAAATAAGAGGCACTGGGAATCTCAATTTCATATCATCAGCCTCCGGAGAGAGCTCATTTCGTTCTGTAAGTTTCCTTCCATCTCTTCCCTTCTGTAATCTTATCTGCGATTTTTTTTTTAATTTAATTTTTGTCCTTGATACGTTGTCATTTTTTATTTTTGATTATTTATTTTCCTAATTTTTTGCTTTTGTTTTTGTTTTTTATGAGGCTGATGATCTTTTTTGGATGTTGTAATTGGTAAAAGTGAGTGGTGATTAAGCTTTGGCTAATTTGAATTTTTGAACTTTCTTCTTTAATGATTGAATATTTGGATGTGTTGGTGGAAACCCATTTTTATATTTGTAAATTTTGATGATGGGTAATTGGGTATGGCTTAAAATTGTATTTCTCTGTGTCTCTGTGTTACTTTATTTGTAATTGCTCATGAAAAGTGTATGAATTCATTTAATGGCGGTGATCACTGATCCTTTGTGAGTTATTTTATAGCTGAGCTCTCCTCATAGTGCTCATGTTGCTGCTGAGTGTGAGAGAGAGGTATCGTGTGGAATTTGATTACGGGTTTGATGTATATGATCAATTTTTGTTGTATTGCAGGGGAATACTGGCTTGAGACGCTGAAAATGAAGGCTGGAAGGATTTTGTTGCTTCTTCTTTGTTTGAATGTGGTTACGTTTGGAGTGGTAACGAATCTTCCTCTACCTACAATATTTCCATATACATACGTACATACATATATATAATGTTTAACAATTAATTCCAGCTAAATTTTGATTTTCTTTTCTTATTATCATTGGTTTTGTCTTGAATGCAGATTGCTGATTTGCCAACATGCCCTGCATCAGATCTTGGAAGTGGGTGTGGTGATTCTGATGAATGGGAAGGGGAATTTTTCCCCGGCATTCCCAAAATTAAGTATGAGGTAAAGGGTGAAAACCACTCTTATTATGATAGACCTTTCCCATTCTATATTGTTTAATTCCTAGTAGGAATAGAATTGAATTTCTAGAATATTTTCCTCCTACTATGTTACTCTTGGCATTCTTACGATTAACAAACTTTCAGTTAATTTGATTTGGAAGACCGATTGCATTTGAATATCTTTATTGTTTCTGTTTGGCCAAAATTTCAGAACTTTTTATTCTTATTAATTGAAGAAAGTTTTCTTTACAAAAATCTTCGTATGGAAATGTTCAACTTTCTCGATTATCTTCGCCCAAATATATGACCTCGTATTGTCCTTCTTTCAGGGCCCTTCTACCAAGAACCCCCTTGCATTCAAGTGGTATAATGCGGATGAGGAGATTCTTGGGAAAAAAATGAAGGTTGTTTGTTCTGTATAATAAAATTTGAATTATCAAGCAGTTAATGGCTTGTGACTGATGTTTCTTCACTACATAGGATTGGATGAGGTTTAGTGTTGCATTTTGGCACACATTCCGTGGAACAGGAGGTGACCCATTTGGTGCAGCTACAAAGAATTGGCCATGGGAGGATGGAACTAATTCTGTGGCTATGGCAAAGAGAAGAAGTGAGATTTTGACTGTTACTTCTACCCTCTGCATTTGGATTGATGATTATTGAGCTAATGTAATGGATTGATGATTATTGAGCTAATGTAATACATATTCTTGTATAAATGACGATGCAGTGAGAGCCAACTTTGAGTTCATAAACAAGCTTGGAGTTGATAGGTGGTGTTTCCATGACAGGGATATCGCTCCTGATGGCAAAACCTTGGAGGTGATACACTTTCTAGTTTGCTTATATAATTGTTTAAGAATGAGAAAAGCAAATTGGGAGATAGGAATTGCGTTGCGCTCTCAAGGAAAGTATAAGATCATATGAAGCCGGAAATTGTTCATTGACCTTGTTTTGCTTGTTGCAGGAATCTAATAAAAACTTGGATGAAGTGGTGGCCCTTGCTAAAGACCTTCAGGTAATTTTGCATCAATATACCAGCACACAATGATACGATAAGTTGATAGAATATGTAAGGGCAATTATTTTCATGCAAATAAAAGTTCTGTTACATCGGTTTAAGATGTGACATATGCAGTCATACTTAGTTCTCCCACTTTAGCCATAGCTTAGAGGGTGTCTGATAGTTCTTTTCAGTCACTTTACTGTGGAAAAAGAGATCAATCAATCATACCCAGCCTCCAAAACCCCATGCTAATCAATGTTGTTTCTGATATCCCAACAAAGTCAAGTGGAAAATGTCAAATGTCCAAGTATTTATGAAACCACATTCTTATTAAGTTCTTTGGTATGCCCTGTAGGGAACCAAAATTCGACCTTTATGGGGCACAGCTCAGCTGTTTTTGCATCCTCGCTACATGCATGGTGGTGCGACTAGGTAATCTTTGTAACAAATAATTAATATACTCCTTTTTGCATGGACTAATACTCAAAATGCTTTACAGCCCTGAAGTAGGTGTATATGCATATGCTGCTGCTCAAGTTAAGAAAGCCATTGAGGTTGGTGTTGGTACATGTAATCCCAAACAAATAATCTTGTTTGCATTTATGTATATGTAATTCTTTACACATTCTGCAGGTTACACATTATTTAGGGGGCGAAAATTATGTTTTCTGGGGTGGCCGTGAAGGTTACCAGAGTCTCTTGAATACTGACATGGGAAGAGAGCTTGATCATCTGGTGTGTTTTGTTTGCAGTTATTTCAAAATAAGCTTCCTTTCAGTGATATTTTTTTTTTTTTCTTTTTTCTTTTTCTGTCTTGTAAAAACCCTCCTTTAGCAACTGTAGTTGAAACCTATCAAGGAATACGCAGCATTTATGCTACCATATTGCTGTAGCAGTGTAGCCTATCCATCGGTTTCATAATGAGGCCTGCCTTATTACATAGCATGATCTTTTGTGGGTATATTTACAGGCAAGGTTTCTTGAAGCTGCTGTTGCCTACAAGAAGAAAATCGGATACAATGGTATACTTGAGTTAAATTTATACCTAAGCTTAATACCAGATAGTTTTATAACTTTGACTTCGACTTTTATACCAGAGTGATTAGTTTCTCAACATTTCTTTTCAATTTTGGTACACACTACTCAGGGACATTGTTGATTGAACCCAAGCCTCAAGAACCTACCAAACACCAGTAAGCTATTTGCTTGATTATTAGACTATGAGTAATTTAATATGGTTTTCACTCATCTGTTTGTTTACCTGTGAGATGATTTTGTTAGGTATGACTGGGATGCTGCAACATCAGCAAACTTCCTGCGAAAATATGGCCTTATAGGTGAATTTTAGACGTACCCTCTATATTCACGAGTCACTTGACTTTGTTACTATTAGTTTTTGGTTAAGCTCCAAAGTTGGCTATATGAATGAGTTGAGTTGTGAAATTTTATACAATACAGTAAGTGTTTTATATTTGGTTTTTGTATTCATGTGGACATGTCATTTTGTACTCCCTTTATTTGAATTCCTTACGCAAAAGTTTTGAGACATTGAGAACTATTTTTCAATCATATAAACTTAAGTATTCTTTACTTTTAATGAGTCATACTTAACAGCGTCACCCCATTTCTTTTGTAGGAGAATTTAAGCTTAACATTGAGTGCAATCATGCAACACTATCTGGTCACAGGTAAATCACAGCTTGTGCCTTAAGCTCTTCTTAAGCTAATGCTCACTCTATATTTCTCCCTCGATTTGTATGAGCACATCAGAAAATTTGAACTCCACCAAACCTGTAAAACTTTGCAGCTGTTATCATGAGCTTGAAACTGCAAGGCTCAATGGTCTACTAGGAAACGTTGATGCAAACACTGGAGATCCTCAGACTGGTAGGATTATCTCTTTGGAACTGAAACTATATATGAATAAAGTTGTAATACTGTGATTTTGTCACTGTTGCAGGATGGGATACAGATCAGTTTCTCACAGATATTGCGGAGGCAACTCTGGTTATGCAGAGTGTAGTAAAGAATGTATGTCACAAATGACATCTATTTTGGCTTCTTGTTTTAAGATTTAAAAAAACTTGTGATTGGTCGGGCATGCAATTTCATGAGTTGATTTATTTCTTTCCTCTCTTTATCTCAGGGAGGAATAGCACCTGGAGGATTCAACTTTGATGCCAAATTGTCAGTTCCTTATGTTGACTTTCCATTTTATTGTGAATGCATACATTGTAATATTTTTACGCTGATAGCTAAATCTTCTTATGTTGTTTTTTTCTTTTTTACCCTTTTTATTAATGATATATAGACGAAGAGAAAGCACAGATGTTGAGGATTTGTTCATTGCTCATATCGGCGGAATGGATACCCTGGCCCGTGGCCTCCGTAATGTTGCAAAGTTGGTTGAGGTAGTGCGCTCGACTCTCATCTATTTACTTCTCAACAGATTATGATTTTGTTTTCTGCTTGCTAATCATGATACTATGTCTCTTCATTTCTGAATTACAACATTAAGGATGGTTCTCTGCCTGACCTTGTTCGCAAACGATACAAGAGTTTCGATACTGAAGTTGGGGCCCTTATAGAGGTAACCACTTTCAAACACTTTGTCTGGTTTCGTGGTTTTAAACGGTCTAGATGTCTAATGCATGGTAATGCACCTTCAACAGGCTGGTAAGGCTGATTTTGAGTATCTTGAGAAGAAGGCAATAGAATGGGGTGAACCAACAGTTCCTTCTGCCAAGCAGGTAATACTTAACATTCATTTGAGCTCCTAGCATCAAAGATCCAACAATCATGGATAATTTTGCTTCAAAACTGGCACTGCAAATGCGTATAAATAATTGAAACAAAACAGTGGACGCCTCTGGAATAATATTAAAAAAATGTCTAAGATGAAATTGCTCTTATTATGCCTGTCTCGTGCTCTGCATTCTGAGTGTCCATACATATTTCTATAACTAGTGATGAAAATCTAAATAGGGGATGGAAGATCCGAGAAGTGCGAAAAAGAAAAAAAAAACTCCTGGAGTTGTACTCAGTATTTCAGCTTCCTTGAGAAACGATAGAGAAAAAAAAATGATTCATTTGCATCCTTTTTGGACGAATAAAAGGATTCGTAGAACATGTGTAGCATTATGCATGCTGCTAGTTATGAAGAGAACATGAAAATACGGATGATAACATTCACTTGCTGCTGTCCTAGTGATTCTTTATTTTTGTTTAAGATACGTTCTAATATCAAGTTGTGAGCTTCGTTTCAGGAACTTGCGGAGATGCATTTCCAGTCGGTTTTGTAAGCATGCAGAGTAGGATACTGGGTGTCGTTTGGTAGAGATAATAGGATATAATAATATTTAGCAATAAAGGACGGTGTTTCCTTTGTTCTGGGAGCATCCAAGTTACCAGTTGATGTGGATCCTTGTAACCATGTAGAGTTACATATTACTTATCTACAACAGCGTTTACACTGAGCTTTTGAGCTGTGATTTGGTAACTTGCTGTTTAAGGTTTCGCTTTTAAATTTGAACAATATGTAGTGCATGAAATGGATCGTGAAAGGGCAAAGGCGGCCGAATTTGTCATTTTAGTATTTTCTTGAAATATTATTTTGTCTACTTGTTTTGGTTAGAATAAGATGTCTTAATTGTTTTGGACATGAAATGATAGACACACTCATGTTCATGTTTAATCATGTTTATCGTTTTTCGTTTGATTTATTCATTTTGATGATAATAAATAAATGAGGCGTGAGAAGCTAAAAAAAGCATGTAAAAATCGTCTCTTTTGAATTTGTCCTACTTTTTCACAAAATGATTACTAATGGAAGACATGATATAAAATCATAAGCGAACATCTTTTTTTGTATTATGTTTAGTGAGAAGATTTTTAGTAGCTGCACAAAGAGGATTAAAATCTCATAAAATACTTGTAAGAGTATAAGGTTGTTTTCACAAGGATTATTTAAAGCAATTTATGTAAAATCAAATCTTAATTAATTAATTGAAAATAAAGTTTAGAAAATGTTGCTTTGTGTTAAAATAATAAAAATGAATTTAATAAAAATAATTAAAGAAACTAGCAAGAAAATAAATTTTGAGAAACTAGTTTAAAAACACACGGTTTCGAAACAAAGATAAAAAGACACTAGGGTTCCTTGTCACCTTAATAATAGTATGTAGTTTCACCAATCACTTATGAATGATCCATGCAACTTTGAAGGTTAAGTTTTCCTACTTCATATTCTATTTGTGGCATTCAAGATATAATGTAAATCAAACATGCAATTCGTTTGTGACATTCAAACCAAATGTAAACATGCATGATTCATTCCGCTTTTAGAAAACCTTTTGAAAAACCATGCAACTCTTAAAACATGACATTCGCCTTAAATGAACTTACAATTATTAACCACAATAAGCATTCTTCAATTTTCGGGCCACATTTCAAGAAATTGCATCTAATTACTTATCTAAAACACTCTAATGGTAGCTAAGCAGTAAGATATAAAGAAAATTTAAACACAGTGATTGACAATTCCAAGTATGCATGCATAATATCATAAGCAATTAAATATAGACTACATATTTATACTAAGGCTCGGGGCCTTGCCCTAGAAAAAAGAAGTTAGTTACCCATATTTATAATTAAAATCAAAGGAATTTTTATTGAATGAAAAAGAGTGAAAACACCTTGTAGTTTGAAATTTTCAATTCGCCAGAGCCTTCGGCAATCCTCTCAAAGTTATGCCGAATCCTTAGGGTCGTCCCCTTTATTTATACTACTACAATTAAATCCGTCCTAGAAAAAGGTCTTCTAAAAACTAAGAAACAAATTAAATTAAGAGAAACTAGGAAACAATCTCCTAGTCAAACATGGAGAATTTGCCGGCTTACTAAATAGTCCAATTTGGGCCTAAATTAGCTTCAAAACAGATTCATCACCAAAAGACACCATTTTGGACTTCAAAAGGCCCAAATAAGCCTAAAACATCAATTTGATAGCACTGCGCACTAGTTTTTTATTTCATCGTCATAGATTAACCACTTGGTAGACAAATCTGAAACTTTGACACAAACAAGTTAAAAGACTCACGAACATCCTCCAATTAGAATCACTCCAAAAATTGTCTGCTCGATCACCTTTTGCTCAAGAGTAAGTCACATGTTCTACATTAAAAATATAAATTAAAATATCAAAATTTCACGAAAATAAATAAGGAAACATACTAAAAATAGGGTACAACATATAATATAAATTCAATACTCATCAATTAGCCCGTTTTTCAAAGTGGAGTAATATCTTCTTTCTTATTGACACATTTTTCAGCCACGCGAATTTTGGAGAATCAAGTAATAAGCTTCTTTTCATTTTAGCGTAGAAACACAATTTTTGGCTCCTAAAGCTTCGTATCAAAGCATTGTCCTGGAAAGAAATCAAGAGTTCATTTGGGAATTGTTTTTTTTTGTTGAAAACACTTTTGTAAAGATTTTATATATTATTTTTATAGTTTTATCAAACTTGTTATGTAATAACTTATTGTGGAGATCTTTATCTTTTATTTGTATTTTATTTATATTTGTTAATTCTTTGGTTAATTTCTGAAAATTAAATTTAATGAATGGTCTTGAAAGCTGATCTGGGATGGAGGGAGAATCTGATCCGAAGGGGATTCCCGCTACCCTACTTCCGACGCGGCGGAGAATAGGAGGACAGGACATGTCGATATGTGAGCCAACCTTTGTCAGACTGAAAGCAAATAGATTGTCATATGAGAAAATTAAAAATAGATGCCTCATTTTAGATTTTTTTAAACTAAACATTTAAGCTTTTTAAGTTTTTTATTAAGCTTTTGAAACATTTGATTAAGATACTCAGACTTAAACTACTTCAGATTAATTGAAATTAATTTATATTTAAAAATCTGTTATATATTTTAAATCAAATATATTTAAGTCTAAAAATTTAAACTTTTCAAATCTAAATGTACACCTATGTCAAATGGAAACGTACTAACATTAAATGAAAACATACCAAAGTCAACCAAAAACATATCAACCCCGAATTAAAGCGTGCCCAATTAGAAACTATATTAAAATGAATATTCATCTTTTTGAAAAGTTTAAAAATATGTTTGATTCATACACAATGCTTTATATAGTCTTGCTTTTTGGTAGATAAGTCTCTAGAACAACTTTTAGTTGATCGGAGATAAATCCTTATTATTGTAGATAATGCTAAATAATAACAATAAATCATATAATTTTGAATTAACAAAAAGGCTATTGTTTGTTGACTAATGACTCTTTCTATAAAAAAAAAAAATAATTAATTAAAGTAATTCCTCGTTATTAGGACAAAAAGTAATAGAACTTATGTTTTGAAAACAAACGTACCAAAAATCCAAATGTACCAAGAAGCTAAATAAACCAAAAATTTAAATGTACCAAGTAACTAAATGTACCATTATAATCAAACGCATCGATATAACCGAACGTGCTTAAAAACGAGTTTTGTTACATTCTATTTAATTTACTAAAATAAATATTTTAATAAAAAATAAAAAAATCTTAAATCATCATAATAAGAGATGCATAAAAATAGGAGGAAAAAAGGAATGCTAACGTGAATAGACTTCTAATAAAATAAAATTAAAGTACCAAAATTGTAGGGAAAATATTTAATCAAATTTACAAAAAGAATATATGACACACCCCAACCGAGATCAGGGCATGCTGGCCGTCACGTGGAAGTGACGTAGCCATGTGCACAGTGCGGAAGCTAAAAACAGTAATATAAAAGTACAAATAATTAAAAACTAGCAAATATAATGTGATAAAGTATGTGCTAGCGAAAGTAAGACGCTGAATTCAGAGCTTTAAGCCTACAGCAGTCCAAAAGAAACGATACAACAATAGTGCACCCGAAGGTGACCCTACGTAGGTGAGTGTCTGTCAGAATGCCGGGACGTCCTCCGGGAAAACCACCAAACCCGCTAAGCTACTAGAACCTGGAGGGGCGCAAAACAAAAGCGTGAGTGGGCAAAAACAAAGCTCTTTGAAAACCATTTAGTAAAATACATTCTAACCCCTCGCCGTAAAACCTGTATACTTCCCAGAAAATAAACATATATACGTATGAATAAATATGCCAATCATGTTCAAGGGTATGCAAATCATGCTCAAAGGTATGCCATATCAAAGCCTCGTAATGATATGCAAGTGCCCAGGTATAATTCACATCAATATCGTGACATCTGACGGCCGGAGTCCCCTAAGTGACCTGTACGGCTGAATTTAGAGCCCAAATCTCAGTTTCCATAACTAAACCTGCCCACGAGTCGGAACCACCTAAAGTGGTCTGTACGACAAGCCTGGGTGTAAAACATATAACGCTCTAGTGCTACGATCACGTGAAGGCTATGCGAATAATCGCGGGCCACCTACGAGTCGGAACCACCGATAGTGGTCTGTACGACAGGACTGTGCACCTAACTTGGATTCAAGCTGAGCGTGTGGTGCGGGAGGTGAATAACACGTGAAAGACTGTGCCCTACTCTGGGCAGGAGCACTAACACCGGGGGTGCAGGTTATGAGCTATCTAAGCATCTCTTACCACTATTTAATGCAATCGTTAAATAACGCTTACCTGGCACTTACCTGCGCCTCCTCAGCACCAAATATAAATATGCATATGTGTGCCACTACTAATGCATATGATAATGCGTAAACAATAAGGATATGGTGCATGGCATAAACAAATAACCCCTTTTTAAACAATTTCTGGGAATATAAATGTATATAGGTATATACGGAAAACCAAAAGCCCACTCACTGGTATGTGGAAGGGTCGTAGCCCCCCTGCCTCGAGTGTGCACGCTCGTCCTCGGGATACGTGTCACCAATATGCGAATTAACTATAAAAACGTTAACTTTAAAGCACACAACCGTTCGTTCAAAATAACTTCTCATACATTGCTCAAAATGGACAAATGAATATACCAACGTGATCTACACAACCTCACGATCACACCCATATTTTTAAAATAATTATTGGACCTCCCACGCGCCCTCACGCGCCAAAACAGGCACGGACCCACGCGCCCCCACGCGCGGCCACGTGCCAGGCACACTGACGGCGTCAAGTGACGCCGTCAGGAATATTCCGTTGAACTGACGGAATATTCCGTTAACCCTAAACTGACGCCGTCAACGTCCGTTAGGAATATTCCGTTAAACTCAACGGAATATTCCCCTTTCTTCTCCGGCCAGTCCCCCTCGCCGGCGCCGTCGCCGTCGCCGGAAAACCTGCAACTCGCCATAACTCGCTCGTTTTTCCACCTTTTTTCACGTTTCTTGCACCAAAATCAACCTTAGAGCTAGTAGAACACGATCCTACAAGTTTTAAGGCCTAAAACTACAAGATTATACCTGTCCAAAACTCCAAAACTCGGCCAACTTCGAACCAAGCTTTCCCGACGTCCAAATTTGTCCAACGAAGCACTCCCAAGCTCTTGGGAACCTCACAAACACAACTATAAGCTTCAAATGTCCAAAAACTCACTAAATTAATCTTGCATGAACAGTAGCTAAAACGGACATGGCGATTTCGACGTGAA